GCATTCCTGGGCTGGGCCGTTGCTGGCTGGGCACTGCCCTGGGCCCAGGGCCACTGCCCGGGGCGTGCTCATTCCCCCTGACTGGGATTACGCCCCCTGGGGGTGGAGAAAGATAAGCAGGACCAAGGGGACCTGAGCGCTCGGCTTTGAGTGGAGGTCTGGGCTTTTCTGAGAGCGGGGGAAAGCCGGGTGGGTTCTCTGTGGGAGCAGCTGGGCTTGGGAGCCAGCTGGGACGGAACTGCCAGCCAGGTGCACGCCTTGCAGCGGGGGAAGGCCGCCGCGGGGTGGGCGAGCCCGAGGTGGGCGTGCTGGAGGGAGCATCGTCTCAGAGACCAGTGAACGTGGCCAGAACGAGGTCTTGGGGCAGCAGGCATGGCTATTGGTACCAGTGGGCCTGGTCTGGGGTGGTGGACATGATTTCAAGCACTGATGGATGCAGCCTGTGGGCTGGTGGGTGGCCTCAGTGGGCGTGGTCTGGGGCAGGTGGGCTCTGTCTGCACAGGTGGGCGTGGTCTGGGAAGGTGGGCGCGGTCTGGGGCCATGGACGCGGTTTCCGGGCGGGTGGGCACCGTCTCAGCGCCCTTCTCTCTCTCCCTCTCCCCCAGCGCTGCCAAGGGCCCTCCCAGCGCCGTGCCTAGTGTGCCGTGGCTCGCTGCCGCCCGCCGGTCCCTGCAAGCGCTGCCGCCCGTTCTGCGCCGCCGTCCTGCAGGGTGCCTCCGTCGTGCCCCTCGGCAACGGGCCGGGCGGCGGCCTGTGCACCCCGTGACACCAAGGACCAGGCTCTGCAGCCTCCAGTGTGTGGCGTGCTTCTCTGGAAACCTAGACATAGATGAGGGACCTTGTACACAGAGCTGTTTTAGCCAAGTTGTGCAGTCTTCACCGTGGTATTTCTTGTGGAGCCTCGGTCCCCACCCTCTCCCGGTGCCTGCACCCCATGCCCACCCGCATCCCGGGCCCCTCGCCCTGCATCCCACGTGCCACACCCACACACCCGTGTCCCCAAACCCACACGTCTCTCCTCACCCCGCAACCGGCACCCCTCAACCCGGCACCTCTCGCCCTTGCCCTGGGCAGGTGAGAATGAGAGCCTCCTGGTGTGTGGGCTCCCCCGCAAGACACCCCTCCTCTGGAGCCCCTCCCTCCTTGCTGGAGGGCCCTGGCTGGCTCCCCAGTGGCCCCTTGTTCACTCATTGATTCAACAAAAGTCTGGCTGTGCTGGTCCAGGTTCTTTGCACCCAAGCGCTTCCTTTCAACCTGGGCTGAGCGAGGGGATCAAGGGGGTGCCTGCACAGAGTCAGATCCCCTCAGATTGTACCGCAGGTGGACTTTCGGGCCTCTGGCTCTCAGTGGGCCGTGCAGGCTGTGGAGACCAGAGGTGGGGGAGCCCCTGCAGCCTCTCTGGGCTCAGGCTGGGGTGTCCCAACCACCCGAGCCTACAGGGGACAGGGGGCCTGAGAGGGGTCTCGAGGGCCGCTTCTTTGTGGACATTGTGGGGACAATGTCCACAAAGAGCCCCCAGCCCTCGGAGACAAGACAGGAGCCCCAGGGGACAGGGGCCCGTCCCCACCATGGTTCTTCCCCATAACGTCATGTGGTTGGATTTGCCATCCACTTCCGATCACCTGCATCCCCCTGGCACCGGGATGGTGTGTTCAGTACACCAGGTGTGTCACCTGGTGGGTGGGCCTGTCCTGGGGTGGCCCTGGAGAGAGGGCCACTGCTGTGCCTACTGGGCCACATGGGGCCTCTGTGCCGCTCTGGGGAGAGTCACTGAGTGCGGCCGTCCCCACCTGTCCCGTGGGTGATAATAAAGCATATTGTGGTGCCGGCTCTCCGGCCTGGCCTGGAGGGCAGTGCCGGGCCGTGCAACCTGAGCTCCGGCAGCACGTCCTCTCCCGACTCATGCCACGTGGCTGCCCTAGGGGGCCCAGGAACCTCCTGCAGCTTGACTTGGGGGGGGCCAGAGCAGGGGCGGCAGGAGGACTAGCTCCTGGACTTCCTGGCCACCCCGAAACATGCCAGCCTGTGGCTGACCGCACCCCAGGCCAGGCCCACAGGTGGATGCTGCCGGGCAGGCGCCATCCCCATCAGCTCTGCCTCACTGACAGGGCAGAGTGAGGGGTGGTGCCCAGAGCCCCGCGGTGCCCACGCATGCTCTGGGCCTGGTGGGAGCAGCGGTGAGGTGCCAGCCCGGAGGGAGGAAGGCTGGGCCGTGGGCTCTGGCGCCTGCGCAGGGGTGAGGCCCATGGTCTTGGGTGCTCTCTGCCTGTGGGTCCCATCCTCTGGTGCTGAAGCTCCATCAGATGTTTCCCAAGTTCGTTCCTGCCTCGGGCCTGAGCCCACTTCGCGGAGCACTCGGGTCAGACAAGGGTGCAAGAGACGGGCCGGCAGCCAGGGCAGCTGTGTCTGCACCGGGGCCGCCCCACGGACCCACCTGCCCAGGGTGCCAGCCTGGGGTCAGCTCCGGGTCAGCTCCTCTCCACACTTGGGGTGCCCTGTTGTAGTTTCAAGCAGAGCCCCAGCCCCCGGGGCCAGCACAACGGTGGCGGGGGGGTCCCCAAGCTCTCCAGCCATACACCTTTTTCCATGCCCACTTCATGGGACAGTGCCCTCCCAGGCCGGAGGCGCTTACACCTGCCCAGAGGGTGCAGGAGGAGGGCTGGACACAGGGAGGACATCAAAGGGCCCCAGAGCCACACCTTGGCTTCTGGGGCCGGACAGGGTGCTGGGAGCCCCTGCCCGGAGACGTCTCCCCTTTCCAGGAAGATCCGAACAGGAAGGAACAGACCTCCGCCGCCAGCAGAAGCCAGGCCCCAGAGTTACAGGCCATGGGGCACTGCCCTCTGGGGTGAGGGATGTCTAGGCAAGGGCTCAGCAAAGGGGGGGGCAGCCTCTCACATACAGATGGGTGACGGGGGCACTCGGGGTGTACCCAGGCTTGCGGGAGTTGGGGCTGGCGCCAGCGGCCCTAGGGGGACAGGTGCCTGGGATGGCTCCCACCCCTCTGCCAAGCCCCGCTGAGCTCGACGACCAGGGCCCCTGACCACCTTCCATCCCCCAACCGCAGGACGGGGGCCTGAGAGACATGGGGACACCCGGGCGCCGTGGGGAGGCAGGTGGCTCCCTGATCCCACAGGCGCGCAGCCAGCCCCAGGGGAACGCGGTTACCTGAGACCCCAGAGCCTCAAAGTTCCAGGATGTCTCCTTTGACAGCCTGCAAACCGCAGGGCGTCTGGCCAGCGTGAGCCTGCAGGAGGAAGCTGCGGACTGAAGGCTGTGCCCGGCCCACCGGGAGGGGCAGCACCCGCCCCAGGGAGCGAACTCACTCTGGACTCTCTCCTGCTGGTCTCGGGGCTGAGCTGCGGCCAGAGGGCGAGGCACAGCCACGGGCATCCTTTTGCCCCTTGCCCGGCCGTCACTTCCCGCGTCCAGATGCTGGCTGGGCGAGCCCTCGCCTTCCCCTCCCTGACCTGGAGCGCTTACCGGAGCCTGGCCGTCCCCAGGGTCACGGAATGTGGCCTCTCCTGTTCCCAGGTGAACCCTGTCCCCCAGGCTCTCCTCTTGCCCTGGTTCCCCTAGGTGGGCACTAGCCGGCCCCACCCCAGCACAGGCCAGGGAAGCCGGCCCAGGGCGGTCGGTGGCGGGGGCCTGGGGGCCTGGGATCCCCATGAGGTGGTGGCATGACCCCGCAGCGCTGCTCTGGGAAACTTCTGCCAGGAGCCTGAGGGGCAGGGGCGCTGACGCACCTGTGACCTGTGCCTCTCCGAGGAGCCACGTGGTGGGGGGCAGCCCGAGAGCCCCTCCCGCGTTGACAGACCCCGATTAATCATGCAGGGCGGCGTCCAGGCTTGTGTGGATGCTCCGGGGCTTGTGTGGATGCTCTGCTAAGGAAATGCTGCGGGTACCAAGCTAATCCTGGGCGGGAAGGAGCCGCAGGGCCGGGATGCGGCTCAGAAGTGGTGGTGTCCCGGAACTTTCACTGTCCCTGGGAGGCGTCCCATCAGGCAGCACCTGCCCACAGAGTGTGCCCGCGTCCCGGGAGGTCCCCCAGTGCGAGACTGGCGGCCGGCCCGCTGGGACGGGCTGGGAAGCACCCGCTATGTGCACTCCTCCAAGTGTGGGCACAGCAGGGACCTGGGGAAACGCACATGAAGCAAGATTAGGCGGTGGTGACTGCTGAGCACAGAGCAGCCTGGCGTGCGGGCTCGTGGGCCTCTCAGGGGCAGTGGCTGGGCCCCCCGGGGGACACTTGGGGACACCCGTCTCCCAGTCAGGAGGAAAGGCAGCTCCACGAGCCCTGCGAGTGTGTCCAGCAGAGGTTCCAGGGAGCTCACGGATAGACAGAGCGGGCTTGGGTGGCCGGGTGTCAGTCTGGGCTCAGATCCGAGGTGCAGGGACCCATGGCGGGGGTGGAGGTCCATCTGGCTCCTGGTGGGAGCAGGTGGGTGCAGAGGAAACAGCTGAGCCCAGGTGGGAGGGGGTGGTGGCCTGGACCCTCCCCACGGAGATGGAGAACGGGACGGGGCCACTTTGGGGTGTACTTTGGAGGTGGAGCTGGCAGGGCAGGGGACTCTTGACCTTGAGGGAAGGAGGAATCCAAGATGGATCTTAACGTGTAACTGTGGCCCCGGGGCCGATGGAGATGTTTCCTGTGACGGGGTCTGGGGGGCAAGGCTTCAGGGAGGAAACTCGTTTTTGAAATACGGGATTTGAGAAGCCCATCAGACGTGAGGGCTGGCGTTGGTGCAGCCGGGTGTGGGATGGGCCGGCCCCATGTTGAGATGGGCCCGGATGCGGGGAGGGCCGTGAGGAGGGGGAGGGACCCCGGCGGAAGGAGGGGCGCCAGGCCAGGGGAGGGAGGCGGGGAGGGAGGGAGGGTGCCCCCGCCCCGCCGGTGCCCCCCACGGGGACGGCCTGGCCTGGGCCCCACTTTGCACTTGACCGTGGAGCTCCAGCCACCGTGGCACCTGGCTGGGGCCGTGGGATTACGGGAGGAGGGCGGAGGAGCAGGGGACGCGGGGAGCCCACGAGGTTCCGGGGGCTGCTGGCAGCCGAGGGAGGGGGTCGGAGAGGGGGAGTCACAGCCCGGGAGGAGGGGGTCTGAACGGGAGGGGCTCAAGACGCCCAGGGCAGCGGGCGGGGCTGCCTTTGTGGGGCGAAGCCAGAGGACTGCTGGCACGGCTGGTGCCCCCCCCCCCGCACCTCCATGTAGACCGCTGCAGCCCATCGTGCCCCCAGGAGGACTGTTCTGGGCCTTGGCAGGTCATCAGTCAGGGCAGAGGGTGGGGCGGACAAGAGCAGATGACTGCAGGGTGCCTCAGGGCGGAGTGGGGCAGACGGAAGGGGCCCCGCCTGCGGCATGCAGGGCCCCGCCCTCCACATCCCGGTGGAGCCGCAGGGTCAGGGCCCAGACCCCACCCTCGGGTCCCTCCCCACAGACCCTCCCCCACGCCCGCCCCCCTGGGAAGCCCCGGGAAGCCCCACGGAAAACCCCAGAGGCGGGGAGGGGGGGGCGACCACTTCTCCCTCCCGGCCCCGCCCCACAAAGGGCCCCAGGGCCCCGGGCCAGCCTCTGCCGGGTCCCCACCCCCAGCTCCCAAGATGCCAGGGTCCCTGGGCGCCGGAATCCACAGGTGCTCTCTGACCTCGACCTTCGCCCCTGCTGGTCCCCAAGGCGGGAGAGGGGCTGCAGGCACCGAAGGGCCAACTACTAGACCGCGCCCACCCCCGCTCCACCGGAAACCCAGGGGCCACAGCTGCATGGTC